AGAAGCAAGTGACAAAGTTGTTCCATTCTACCTTGAGTGGGTCAGACCACACGTAGAGAAAATTTGGTTTGCCACATCTTCAGTACAGAGATTTAAAGATTTCATAGCAATTACATAAAGATACCTGTTTTTCTGCTTTTTAATAGTTTAGTATTTCACACCCTTGTGACTGTGATAAGGCCTGAACTAAGATAAATGCCTGCCCTAGAAACCCTTCCAACCAATAATCTTCAAATAATTATTCCATTTATTTAATGAGAATGGAGAAACTAAAAATTGTATACTTCTTTGTATTATACATACATAATATGCAGTATGAGTCTGAAAACTAAGTTTGTGAAGTTGCTTCCGTGTGCAGACACTGGTAGCACTGTACAAACACCTTGGTAAGACCTCATACCCTTGGTACATCAGAGTCTCACCACTGTGCTCCTGTTGACATGTGGCAGTATCTCGCTGAGAGGCGTTCATTGTCACTGCATGTGGCATCACAAGCATGTCAGAGCTTGAATGAGAACAATGAGCAAACATTAAATTCCTTGTTAAACTTGGCAAGAGTGGAAGTGAAATCAGGGACGTGTTGGCCCCAGTTTATGGGGGATAATTTCACGAAGAAAACAGCAGTATACAAACGGATTAAACATTTTTCTGAGGGAAGAAAAAGTGTCGCTGATGAGGAACAGTCAGGGTGGCCAATAACTAGCAGAACTGATAAAAACATTGCAAAAATTTGTCAAACTGTGTGTCCAAATTGTCAGCTGACTGTGAGAAGTACAGTAGACCACATTGACCAAGACATCAATAGACAAACCAGAACACCTTAACTGAAAATCTTGGCATTAGAAAAATGTGGCTCTTGCATCACAACAAAGCACCAGCGCACACAGCACTGTCTGCCAGGAAGTTTTTAGCCCATAAACAAAGAACTATAATAAAACACCCTCCCTACTCACTTGATCTATCCCCCAATGACTTTTTTCTTCCCTTAAAATAAAAGAAACATTGATAGAAAGACATTTTGTGAATTTAGGACATTAAGGGTAATATGACAACAGCTTTGATGACCATTTCAGAAAGAGTTCCAAAATTGCTTTAAGGGGTGATCTAAGCACTGACATCAGTACACAGTTTCCCAAGGGTAGTATTTCAAAGGTGACCTTAGTGACATTCAGCAATGAGGTATGTAGCACTTTCCCTAGGAAGAGTTCACAAACTTAATTGTCAGACCTTATATATGATTTTTTGTGATATCCTGTATCATATAAACCTTTGGAAACTAAGTTAAACTGATTACAATATAGAAAAATATAATACCATAATAATAAACAGCTATGTGCCAGATAATCGGTTTCAGAATTTCTGACTGCCAACGTCTTTGTTGATAAGCTGGCCTCTGGGCTCCAGACAAGTCCTGTGTTTGTACCATGCATCTTGACGATGTGTGTTACAAAAATACTCTATTTGGTGAGACTCATTTTACACTTTGCCAGTTAAGTTTCTACTTTATTATATCCTGTCAAACATTCCTATAAATTGATGCCCAGGTATACACTGCTTGCCACCCCAAATAAGCTAATGAGAACACTGAAATTACTACATCTTACAAAAATTACTAAGATTCTGTAAAATGTAAGTCATTCTCATCTTATATATATTCATATTATTTGATTAAAACATCATGACCCAGGACTTTGATGCAATGATTTTTAGGCATGGTTTTGTAATACCTCATGACATCTCCAAATATAAAGATAGAACAAGTTTATTGTCCTAAATAACCTGGAAATAAAATTAATTTCAATTTAAAATCACTTTTTAATAATATATGGCATGCAACACATTTACAAGCATCTCAAATCAAAGACAAAAACTAAGTAACCCAACTACTAAACAAGCCTATAGGTGCAAATGGGATGTAAGTATTCTCGATACTAGTGTAGAAGTTATTCTTGCTATTGTTTTAAATAACATTTATGGGCTCTCTTTAAAGTATCTCACTCCAATAAGTTTTTTCTTAAAACATTCCTAACAAAATCCCCAGCTGGTAGCCAGGCGTTGTGGCGGCCGCCTGAGTCCCAGCTACTCGGGAGGCTGAGGCAAGAGAATCGCCTAAGCCCAGGAGTTGGAGGTTGCTGTGAACTGTGATGCCATGGCACTTTACCCAGGGCAATAAAGTGAGACTCTGTCTCTAAAAAAAACCCAAAAAGCCAGATTATAAACTCTTAATAAAAGTAAGAGTCTGCAGAAGTGGAGCTTTACACAAGTGTTAAAAAAAAAAAATCACCAGCCGGACATATTTGCAGATATTACCTATTTTCAAAACTAAAAGAATGCCTGCCTGCGTTGCCAACTTCAGTGATTCAACACAACACACCACAATAAAACAGGAATGACAGAACTCAAGAGTTGCCTATTTTGATGTATGATTGGTAAAGGGAGATTTTGGTTTATGCCAGTGTTTCTTAAAATGTGGAGAAGTTAAAATTATAGAAATTATTTTTATTTCTGCTTCTTAATAAATTCAGATTCCTGGGTGCCTCTTCGGACCTCCTGAATCAATTCTTACAGAGAACCATTGAGTAAGGTCCCGGGAGCTTGGAACAGAATGTGAGATCAGCAATGTCCTAGGTGGTATTTCTGCATTGATTTTTCTGGCAGGAAGTAAGATCAGTCATAAGCTAGAGAAATTGTCCAATTTTGTAAGGTACATCTACTCTCAAAACCAAGCTCTAGGCTCAGCGCTCGTAACTCAGTGAGTAGGGTGCCAGCTTCATACACTGAGGAGAGTGGGTCTGCTAAACCCAGGCCTGCTAAACAATGACAACTCCAACTAAAAAATAACCAGAGTTGTGGCAGGTGGCCATAGCCCCAGCTATTTGGGAGGCTGAGGCAAGAGAATCACTTAAGCCCAAGAGTATGAGGTTGCTGTGAACTGTGACACCACAGCACTCTATCCAGGGTGACAAAGTGAAACTCTGTCTCAAAAAAAAAAAACTCTACCAGAATCAAAACTGTTGCATAAGGATGTGTCATATCCTGCTTTTAGTAAAAAAGAATTTATTATCCATTTTTCTCCCTTCAATAATTTAAAGTGACATCAAATGTTAAAAATGAACTTCTTATCCCTGCAATCCCACTTACGGGGATGTATGTAATATGTATTCAATAAAATACGAAGCAGATAATTTTGTTGTTGGCATTTATTTATTTATTTATTTCGGTGAGGAGAGCTGAAGCTTTTATGAGGCAATGCTGCCATTATTTAAAATTCCTCCGTGCTGAACTAGCTGACCAGCCTTAAAGGGGGGGGGGGGGGCGCTTGAAAGTTTGTGTGTAGAACGCTATCAAAATCACGTGGACAGAATCTCGGGAGTTTTTAAGTAAGTTAACAAATGAGAACCGCATCTATTAAAAACAATTCATTTATTCTCCCTGGCTAATTGTACTTTATATTCTAGGAGAGTCGCCAGCGAATACACACTGCAAATGTAATTATTCTACGAATCTTTTGATGCAATCAATACATGCATGGCACAGCGTTATTATAAATTATACAGGATTATGTCTTGGCAGTACGTAAAACTAAAGGCAAGGATAGGAATTCCCGTAGCTCCAGCGATTTTATTTTGCTCTTCAATGTACTGCCCTTGCTAACATTTTTGGTAGAAACAAGAATCAAGATGAGTGTAGGACATTGGGACCCCGTACCGGTGATCTTCGGTTGAAACAAAAGACAATACAATGTTACTTAAAGTTGGGCAGAAAAACTTAGAAATCTTGCAAATCATGTTATCTGAAACACGTCCTCAGAGAAGAGACCCATCTGACCACGCCTTTGTCCTCTCTCTGTTTGTGCAGGGGCATTAACTCGCTTTTCTTTCTTTCTCTCTCTCTCTCTCTCTTTCTCTCTGCAGTTCTCATTTGCTTCTCTTCAGTCCCAGAGAAGCTGCAGGATGCAGGGTCCTCTACGATCTCCACTGTCCGTGTCCGCCTCAGAGACCAAGACTGCAACCCCCACCACCATCACCTGCCCAACACCTACAACTGCTCCTGAGAGGCGGGGCTCGGAGGGGCCACCTCGACCCTCCCACGTGCTCTTGCCCAGAGTCAGGGCCCCCTGCACTGTTAGACCTGGAGAGAAAGGGACCGGGGGCGCAGGTCCGCGCCGCCTCAGCGTCAGACTGGGGCCCGCATGCCCCACCCCTGCTCGGCGCCCTGGCAACCCGCGGGACGCTTCGCCGGCGCCAGGTTTCAGTCTCCCTTCTCATTTCTCTTACCCTCCCGCTCTCCTTTCTCCGACCGTATTTTTGTGATCAATTCTTCGATGGCGAGAGAGCCACACCTCTCCTTCCCATAAAGACGCGTGTGCTCTCCCAGCACCTTTCTCCGTCCCGTTCTCCCCCTAAGTCTGGTAGGGTCCGCAATGCAAAGGACTCCCTTGGCATCCAGAAACCGGTGGCAGCCTCCCAGTTCGCCCATTGCGCTCAACACGCCCGCACCTGCTGAAGCCTACCTCTTATCCGTTCAGCTTTTTTCCAGTTAGTCGTATTAAGTGCCAAGCACCTCCTCCACATTTTAGGGCTCTACTACCGCCCACATTAAAAAATAAAAAAGCCCAACACTCAAGATAGTGTGAATTCCAGAAAGAAAGTGTGTGTGGAACGCAGTCTGAGTGTGCATCCGTGCTCCTCGCCGGTCTCAGCCCGCCGGGTCCGGCTCCCGCAGCCGCGAGGTGCAGTGCAATCCGACGGCTCCAACTTGCCCCGCCAGGACGAAGCCGGGCCCTCCGGAGCTTACCTGTCCGCGCCCAGGTAACTGGCCAAGAGCCCGCTCGGCCCGGTTCCAGGACACCTGGCCGGGACAGGGCGACGCCGGGAACCACGGGGCGCCCTCTCCCGAGCGCCAGCTCTCCAGCCCTCCTTCCCTGGGGGTGCTCTGGTTTTGTTCCCACACCCCTTCCCACAAAGACAGCGGGACCGCCCTCTTCCACCGCGCCTTACCTCAAACAGGGGACCGATCTTGTTCTTCTCCAGGTAAGCCTGGATCCGGGTTTGCTGATGAGACGCCATGGAGAGCCGCCGGGGTCGCCGAGACAGTGCGGGAGGACCGCACGGCCGCGCGCCTCCGAGGGTGACAAGCCTCCTTTTCCGCGGACGGCGCCGGGACCGGAGCTGCAGAGATGGGCTCGGTCGGCGCGGCCGGCTCGGCCCCGGGCGCGGGCGTGGGCGGCAGACCCGGGAGCCGCGCGCGTGTGGGGCGAGGGGAGCCCCGAGCCCGGGCGCAGCGCCGCCAACTCAGGCAACTCCGGGCCGAGGGCAGAACTCATTCATCCCGCCCACAGCCGCCGCGCTCCGCTGCGCCGGGCTCCCAGGAGGAGTTGGGGGTTCCTTCCTCCTCGCGGCCGCGGCAGCAGGAGCGGGAGGCGGGCGGCCGGCCGCGGAGGTGCCGCTCCGCCCAGAGCCGCGCGAGGGGCTCCCGCGGGCGGGCCAGGGCCGCGGGGATCGAACTCGCCGCGGCCGTGTGCGCGAGCGCGCGCGCGTGTCTCCGTGAGCGCGCGCCCGTGTGTGCCCCTCTCCCGGGTTACGGGAACAGGCGGCCCGGGCCTCCCCGAGGCTGCGCTCGCGCGGCCAGCCGCTCCCTAGCGACAGCGCCGCTTTAAAAGCCAATGGTGAAGGTGCTTCTTTGAAAGTGCACATAAATCTGGTGCTTGTTGGCTCCTGCTTGGCAGCGACTAATGCAGTTCCGAGGAGGATCGTCGGAGCCTCTCCTGCACACCTCACCTCCTGCTCCTGCCTACACTCACTCGGCGTCTGGGAGGGGCGGAGACGTGAGAAGGTGCGTGGGTCTAAGGATTTGCCGGGAAAAGCAGTTGCCTGCCTTGAAATAATCAGGGAGCGAGTCGACCGAGCGGCTGGGCCAGCTGAGAACCCAGCTGAAAACTCTGAAGCGCAGACACCCCAAACCTGGAAGCAGCCTTGGGAAGCAGCCTTTCAGTGTTTGGGAGAAAAGGAAAAGCGATCCAGCCCTCCCCTTCCAAGTTTGCCTTCCTAACCCACGCCTTAAATTACATCTGTACGCCTGTAGCTGCGTGTCAGTACTACACTATTCACTTAACGAGGTTTCCTCTAGATGCTTCGTGAGCTCCCAAATTTAGCCAATACCTTTCCTGTTGTGCAGGGATTTCCAATTGAAGAGGGTTTAGAGATCAAGGTCCCTACGACCGTTTCCCTGTCTCCAAGCCATGATGTGCTGCCAAAATCAAAATTTATGTTAATCAATGTGAATGTTTAGAATGATGGAAATAGTTTTCCTTAAAGCAGAGTACACAGGATTCTGGATTTTTGTAACTCATAATTACTTTACTGGTTTACATGCTTTTCTTCTGTGTTTTGAAGATAAGAAAACATATAATGGTTAAGATAGGAATGGGATAATCCAGAAAATAATGTTGATTCCATTTAACAATTTATATGGCAGATGTCCGTCAGAGTAGCTAGTTGTTTAACCACCCCTGATAACCTGTAATGGGTGTGATCTAGGGGGTGGGGGTGGGGGGACTGTCCAAGTAAATACTTCTAGTCAGACTCAAGTGATCTGCTGGGAGGATTGATTAACTCGAACAACCGTCTAGGGTTGTCGTATGTTTTCTATTGTGTATACTTATTCTTTTTAAGACGTTCAGGAAAAATTACACGTAGAGAGTGAATATCAACATTGCCATTTGCTAAAAGGTATGATGGAGCGCCATAGAGAAGGCCATCTATGACCCAGCTACAATATCTAGTTTCATTGTTTGTGGGGCTTTTGTTTGCATATTTGTTTGTGTGAGATACGGTCTCTTTCTGTTGCTCGGGTAAAGTGCAGTGGTGCCATCCTAGCTCACTGTAACCTCAAACTCCTGGGCTCAAGAGATTTTTCTGCCTCATCCTTCCTGGTAGCTGGGACTAAAGATGTGAGTCCTACTTGTGGCTGCTACGCCTAGCCAATTTTTATTTTATTTTTTATTTATTTATAGAAAGGGGGATTTGACTATGTTGCCCAGGCTGGCCTCAAGTGATCCTCCCCCCTCAGCATGCCCAAATGCTAGGATGTGAGTCCTAACACTCAACGAAGCCTCGCATTTTTGATAGCACATACTACCAGAAAATCAGAATGTTACCTTACTCAAATCAAGAGACTTTGTCCTCTAAAAGACTAGAAGAGAAGCTTCTTTATATTAGGTAATTGACAATCGCTGTGCTCAGAGCATGGCACCTGGGTTCTTGAGTAGAAGAGACAAAGCGTTATGTGGCAAAATATATATTAAAGAGAGAATCATAAAAACATAACATGCCTCTCGATGTATGTTAAACAGTGACTATCAAAAATCGTGTTTAAACTGCAGGAAATATTTTCAAAGCTTTTCAAGGCCCACATCAAACAGCACCTCCTCCACAAAGCATCCATTGGTTCTTTTCACTTATCCGCAAATCCGACTTAATGACTACTGTAAATATTTACGTTTGCCCATGGCAGACATGTTAGGACTGGGAATTCAGAGGTGAAAGGCTTTGTCTTTGTACTTCTGTGTTCAGTCTGGTTATACTTATACTGAGACTATATATATGTATATAAATGGCATTAGAATGTGCCATTTAGAATGTGCTCTAAGTATACACTGCCTTTTTAAATAAAGACATAAAACATTTTTTAAATGTACTGATAATGGAACAATTACTTGCGCCTGGGATCCTCTAGAAACACTTCATACAGGAGATGGTATTTGAGTAAAATGTTGAAGAAAAACTAAAATTTGAAAGTTTTCTAGATGGAATGGGTATGGTGAGAATGGGGATAATGTTTCCGGCTTTGGCATTTAAAAAATAGCATGTGCAAAAGCCCAGGGGCATGCCACAGGCTGGTGGTTAGAGAGGTGTAGAGTGTTTGTGGAGGATTATTATCATGTGAAGTTGAAAATGGGTGCAGAGTTCAGCTCACTGGAAGTCTTCAATGTCTTTTCAAAGAATATAGACTTACATTTTTATGGACAATGAGAAGTGACTATTTGGGTCACAAAATCCATGACAGACGACGAGGGTCAGTGTCAGGACTGGGATGGGGGATGAAGAGAATGGGATGTAGTCAAGTCATAGATGAGGACGGATGTGTTGATTAGTTATATGTAGGATTAAGTCAGAAGAGGAAATCAAATTTGACACTCTGATTTCTGAAATGAAGAAGCTAAAGATATAATAAATTATTTGCACAAGTCACCCAATGTATCACTGGTAGGGTTAGGTTTTAATTCAGGTTTTTCTAACTCTAAAGCTAAAGCTATTCCCATCTCTACCCTATCACCTAGAAGTTAGTCTTGAGTTGAGTCTATACATATTAGCATTCCTTTGTGGGGAGAGCTATATCTCATCTCCTGGATCATAACAAACACTTCATAAATTACAGTTAATTGAGTGAATTAAATTCTAGTAGACCAATTCAATTCAGCTATGCCTGCGACTCATAGCATTTATACTGTTTTGTTTCATTTAGTTAACTGCATGTATATTTTGGTCCTTCTTTTAAACTGCAAACTCTCTAAAATCATGAACTGTATCTTAAAATATTCTTATACTTTATAGCATGAAACATAGTATATTTTCATATAGTGCATTCTTCATAAACATCTTTAAGATCCTGTTGCTGCATGTCTTAAGACTTTCTATGGTTTAGTCCCTTTAAGACTGGCTGAAAAGTAACAGTTCTCTTGGATTGAATTTAACAACTTTCTTCTGCACCCATAATGTGGTACCTTTATGATCCTTTTCCCCATTTTTGGCTTGGGTACAGCAGGAAAAGGCAATTTTCAGTAAAACTGTTTTGACCTCATTGTGTTATAAGAGTACCTGTCAGCATAATTTACAAATATACAGAATCCATTTATAGACTGTACTAAAGCCCTTGTCCACCACCATTTATAAAACACCTTGCACAGTTCCTTAAATAAATGAATTTTGGTGAGACTTCAGAAAACAAAGGTAAAGTCCAATTGACACAATTAGGCAATATTAACAATGTGATCCTCTGAGATTAATGAAACACTGAATTCAAAGAGGAGAAGTTCTTTTTTTTTTTTTTTTTTTTGAGACAGAGTCTCAAGTTGTAGCCCTGGGTAGAGTGCCGTGGCATCACAGTTCACCACAATGCCCGGCTATTTTTTGGTTGTAGTCATCATTGTTGTTTGGCAGGCCAGGGCTAGATTCGAACCCACAAGCTCTGATGTATGTGGCTGGCTCCCTAGCTGCTGAGCTACAGGCACCAAGCCTCAAAGAGGAGAAGTTGTATACATCTTTCTTAAATTTGGTCTTCTAGCCCTGAAGCGTACTTGTCCCCTTCCTGAATCTCTTTCACCCTGCCACTTTGTAACAAACAAGGACAAATGTCTTTCCAAGAATCAGCACATCTGAGTTATCTGGTCATGAAAGGGGAGTGAATGAACACAGAGAGTTAGTTTTCTTCATTTCTTCTAGAAACGCTTCTCACAACTAATGCAAATGAGCACAAATACAGCATTCACTGTGTACTAAGGACTGGTCTAGCACTTTCTACACTGCCCTAATTCCGTTCATCCTCCAAACAATGTCATGAAGTGGGTGCTACAGCTGTCCCCCATTTTTTCAGATGAGGAAACTGAAGTACTTGGCAGGTAAGTACCTTGCCCAAGGTCCTAGCTACTAAAAAGCAAGCATCTATCATTTGAACCCCAGTGGTGCATTGACTATCCAACACCTACCAAGGTTCTGGGAGTACCACTTCCCTTTGCTTTGAATACCCTCGAACCAAAAGGCATTAGATGACGAACTTGATTGGGGAATGTGCTGACGCGGGAAAGGATGCAGCCGGGAGGGGAGAGACCAGGGTAATTTTCTGGCTTCATACTAAATGAATACATTGTCTCATGTGAGTTTGAAGAATGGCTAATCAGTCACATTGGGACTGATTCTAACTGTGCTGAAAACATCAACTTACTGGACCTACTAAATAGAGAGCGCAAATGATGCTGCCAGCTTGTGAAATCCTCCCATTCATCCTTCTCAGGTGACATTTCTATCATTTTTAATTTCCATGTTTCAGTACACATATTAGATTTTAATATTTAATTTTTAATATGTGGGATATAGATAAGAAATCTAAAATAGTTAATGTTGATACATTTCTATAACATGTTCATTTGCATGAATCATGAATCATTTAAAGGAAACCTACAGCTATCTGACCCTATAGATACCTTTGATATTATCTATAAATGCCATTACCCCTGCTAGGCTTTTTGCTTGCAATTTCCAAAAAATG